CCTCTCCCGTTCTGTGGGTCATTCAACTCACACACCTACCTGCCTATCTGTGTGCAGGTCTCCTGGTTGGGACTCTGGATGTGGTTCTGGACTCCAGTGCCAGAGTGGCTCCGTACAGGATCCTGCTGCAGACTGCGGATTCTCAGATCTACTGGAACATCGCCTGTGGTGGGTCAGCTGGACTGGGAGAACTGGGATTGGCTGAATATATGTTTGTTTGTTTGTTGACCCTCAGCTCCGTCTTGCAGGTTCATCCAGGAAGGAGATCACGGAGCACTGGGATTGGCTGGAGTCCAACCTGCTGCAGACCATCTCCATCTTTGACAACGATGAAGACGTCACCACCTTTGTCAAAGGAAAGATCTCTGTATGTCACTTTCTCTTTGCGCCCTTTCTTTGTTGTGTTTGTTTTGTGATTCTGTTACTGAGTGATGTCACTTCCTGCAGGGCATTATCGCAGAGGAGAACCGGCTGAAGCAGGGGGAGGAGCAGGAGGAGGATTGTGGGAAGTTTCGGGAGGCAGAGCTGAAGATGAGGAGGCTGTTTGGGATGCCTGACGAGGAGAAGCTGGTGAATTATTACTCCTGCAGCTACTGGAAGGGCCGAGTGCCACGACAGGGCTGGCTCTACCTGTCCGTCAACCACCTGTGCTTCTACTCCTTCCTGCTGGGCAAGGAGGGTACGACCGGCCAATCACAGACCAGAGTTATTTGATGTCATTTGTACAGCCTGTAAAAGTATTACAGTAATATAATGCATGGTGACTGTCTTTCATGTTCCCCCTCAGTGACCCTGGTGGTGCAGTGGACGGAGGTGACACAGCTGGAAAAGAACGCCACCCTGGTGTTTCCAGAGAGCGTTCGTGTCAGCACACGTGACACCGAACATTTCTTCTCTATGTTCCTTAATATTAACGACACCTTCAAGCTCATGGAGCAGCTTGCCAACATCGCCATGCGCCAGCTACTCGACAACGAGGCGTTTGCTGCTGACCGCTCACTGCCCAAACCCTGCAAAACTCTCAAGAACGTCTCCGCACTCAAGAGGTCTCACTCTGTTCAATAAGCATGTACCTGGTTTTACATGTTGTCTGACTGTTGCTGATCCTGTTCAAGGCACCAAATCACCTTAAAGCTAAATATACAGTACATAATAAGTATTTATATGTAATGAATATACATAGAATATACATACCTGACAATGACAATCTGTCATTGACCTTTGACCTGAGCAGTTTCCTGTCCTTGTCATTGCTGCAGGGATTTGGACGCACGGGCAAAGAACGAGCGGTACAGGACGATGTTCAGGCTGACGCAGGACGAACGTCTGGACGGACACACAGACTGCACACTGTGGACGCCGTTCGCTAAGATGCATGTGGTTGGACAGCTGTTCATCTCCAACAACTACATCTGTTTTAACAGCAGAGAAGAAGACCTGTGTCAGCTCATCATCCCACTCAGAGAGGTAAACAAGCTGGAGTCCAGGTGGGCTGTTCAGGGTGCATGGGAGAGTGGAGTGTTCCCAATACACAAAGCCTGGTTAGCATCATCATCTGCGCAGTGATTTTTACCCACCGTCCTCTGCTCCTCAGGTGTCCATTGTGGAGAAGGCAGACAGCAGCAGCGTCCTGCCGTGTCCCGTCTCCATCAGCACCAAGAACAAGATGAACTTCCTGTTCGCCAACCTCAAAGACAGAGACTTCCTGGTTCAACGCATCTCGGACTTCCTGCAGCGAACACCCGACAGCTCGTGGGGTGACACAAGCCCGCTGTCTCTGATTGCTCACTCAGTACGTCACTCATGTAGAGGCTCTGATCTCCTGCAACCAGGATTTAAATCTGCATGGGTCAGATCAGAAGTGTGCAGTTATACTGCCATCATGTGTCAGAGAGGTGTAACAGCAGATCAGTCCAGTTCAGCTGAATATCGGCTGGTTTCAGACGGTTTTAGTAGACAGGAAGAAGTTTAATTTCTGTTGTTGTGGTGTGTGTTTTTTGTCCTCAGGCATCCTCCAGCACCCCCTTGTCCTCATCTGCAGGGTCTGAGTCTGTCCACAGGGGGCGCCATTACCACCCAGGTCTGCCCACAGCCAGCCAGGGTCTGCTGCAGCTCTACCACCGAGACACTCCTGAGGACCTGGGACCCAAAGCTGTGAGTTCACGTCCCAAGACCTTTAGATACTAAGTTCGAATAGTACTGTTAGATACAGAGGATTAGTGCCCCTCCATCCCTCCTTGCTGACCTCCTCACCGCCTCCCTCCTTCTTCTGCAGATGAAGGAGAAGATGAAAGAGGAGGCATGGAACATCCATTTCTCCGAGTTTGGTCGAGGTGTCTGCATGTACCGAACCTCCAGAACAAGAGAACTCGTCCTTAACGGGATCCCGGAGCGCCTGAGAGGGGAGCTGTGGCTACTGTTCTCTGGTCAGTGTTCATTCATTTATACCACAGGTAAACTGTAGTTTCATGTACTCACCTGTCCCTCTGTCCACCCGTCCATCCAGGAGCACAGAACGAAATGGCGACCCACCCTGGTTATTATGGCGACCTGGTGGAGCAGGCCATGGGGCTGTGTTCGTTAGCTACAGAGGAGATCGAACGTGACCTACACCGTTCGATGCCTGAGCACCGAGCCTTCCAGAACGAGACAGGCATCGCTGCACTGCGCCGTGTCCTCACTGCTTACGCCCACCGCAACCCCGGAATCGGATACTGTCAGGTAGATATAAAATATTTAATATTAATCTTAATTTAATTAATAATATTAATCAGTTTCAGTATATTATATGTAATATTTAATCAAATATATTGAATTAATATCTTCTATACTAAATATTCTATCCTCCTCCAGGCGATGAACATTGTCACCTCCGTCCTGTTGCTCTACTGTCCGGAGGAGGAAGCCTTCTGGCTGTTGGTGGCGTTGTGTGAGCGGATGCTGCCTGACTACTACAACACCAGAGTCGTAGGTCAGTAACGACACCGAAGTCGTACATCGGTGACGACACCGTGACAATACTGGTAGTAGGTCAGGGAGTACCGTCCCAGTCTGATGTGGTTTCTGCCCCTGCAGGTGCTCTGGTGGATCAGGGGGTGTTTGAGGAGCTGACCCGAGCCTTCCTCCCCCTGCTGTATGAACACATGCAGGAGCTGGGAGTCATCTCAACCATCAGCCTGTCCTGGTTCCTCACACTCTTCCTGTCTGTAATGCCCTTTGACAGCGCCGTCTTATTGGTTGATTGCTTCTTCTATGAGGGAATCAAGGTCATCTTCCAGGTCAGAGTCACTGCACCCTACCAGCAGTTAACTGTTTTGTACCTGTCTGTGCAGGTGTGTTGTAAAGTGGACATCTGACAGTTCAGTCAGCAGTCTTTACCTCTGACCTCTGCCAACTGTGACTGAACTACTTCCTGTCTTCCTATCTAATCTAACTACAGGTGGCGCTGGCGGTGCTCCATGACAACATGGATGCCCTGCTGTCCTGCAGTGACGAGGGGGAAGCCATGACCATCCTGGGCAGGTAGGAGTCCAAACTGGCCAGGTAGGAGTCCAGACTGGCCAGGTAGGAGTCCAAATTTGAGTCCACCTAATGTGTGTGTGCGTTTGTGTGCAGGTACCTGGATAACGTTGTGAATAAACAGACGGTGGCTTCACCCATCCCTCACTTGCACGCCCTGCTGACGAGTGGAGACGATCCTCCACCTGAGATCGACATATTTGACCTCATCAAGTCATCCTACGAGGTCAGCTGACTCAGTGACACGCCTCAGTCCAAGTCTAGTTCCTGGTCCAGGTGTTTGAGGTAACCTCAGTGTCTTCTTCTCTGAGCAGAAGTTCGGCAGCTTGCGCTCTGATGTCATCGAGCAGATGAGGTTCAAGCAGAGGTTAAAGGTCATCCAGTCGCTTGAGGACACGGCCAAGAGGAGCGTGGTGGGTGATGTTAGCGTGCTGCAGGCTAATTTTAACACGCTAATGGAGACATATTATTCACAGTTGTGTGTGGGTGTGTGTGTGCAGGTGAGAGCGATGATGACGGAGTCCGCCTTCAGTATCGAGGAGCTGGAGGAGCTGTACTGTCTCTTTAAGGTCACAACAAACTCTGTTTTTAAAATGTTTGTTTACAGGCAGGTAGTGGGTGTGTCCATCTGTCCCCGGGGATCTGATATGTATCCAGATACTTGGGCTGCGATACGATTCAGAGATTCATTTTAATGTGGAACAATGTGAAACAGTTCTTAACATTTGTTTAATGTAGACTTTTATTTTCCGTTCTAAATTAAAATCAGACAATTTAATAAAAGTGACATTGTTTACCTTCAAATACATATATTTTATTAAATATTTTCCCCTTCAGTCCAAACACATGACGAGCTGTTATTGGGGGTCCAGCAGCTCCGCAGCAGAGCGTCATGATCCAAGTCTGCCATACCTGGAACAGTACCGCATCGACCCAGCTCAGTTCACCCAGCTGTTCGCCGCACTCGCTCCCTGGATCTGTGGAGCCCACACTGCCACACTGTCGGCCCGCCTCTTCCGACTCCTGGACCAGAACCAGGATGGACTGGTCAACTTCAAAGAGTTTATCACTGGACTCAGTGAGTCCAGATACAAGAGGGTTTAAGACAGAGCTGCTCTGGTTCTGTGTTAGACTGTTTTAGGGTGCTGGTTGGGTTAAAACTGACCTTGGTGCATCTGTGTTGGTCTGTGTTGGTCTGTGATGGTTTGTGATGGTCTGAGTAAGTCTGTGATGGTCTGTGTTGGTCTGTGATGGTCTGTAATTTTCTCTCTCTGCAGGTGGGATGTATCACGGAGACATGACAGAGAAACTCAAACTGCTGTACAAGCTCCACCTCCCACCAGGTAACAGTCACAAAGCTCACCTGAGTCCAAGCTCAACATACTAGGCTCTTTTAGTTATCTGGCTTCACTAATCCGAAGATCAAAGACCTTGCAAAGCGGTCTCACAAAGCTAGATCAACCCGGGGTTTCCGACATGAAAGTGGTGGGGATTGCAGTATAAGACCAACTTCTGTTCCTTCCTTGGACCGCTCTTGATAGGTACTGACCTCTGAAGACCGGGATCACCCCACAAGAGCTGCAGGTTTGTCATCCATCACAATGTGGTTCTTGAGCTCCGATACCCAGATAATCAGAGTTACTGGCAGTGCTCACTGTGTTAGGGCTGATCGTTGTATAACACCATCAGATAAAACCACAGGGAACGCTCTTTCCCTCTGAAGAGCTCCACAGGATCAATAATCAATACATCCACTGATCTTCAATGAATGGTGACTTTCCAAGAGACTGATTGGTCAGTAGGCGGAGGCTTTTATAGAGTTGATCTCTGATCTGGAACACAACCTGTACCGGAGCCAGTCAGCTGTTCAGCACCAGTTACCATAGTGACGTACCTGCGTAAGAAGTTAACCTTCGTCCTGCCACCCATCTTGACCTAACCTCAATAACCCCAAATACTGCTTGACAGTACAGATTGTTTATTAGTTTGTTTATTTGTTGGTTTGTTTGTGTTGCAGCTCTGTGTCCTGAGGAGGCGGAGTCTGCTCTGGAGGCAACACAGTTCTTCACTGAGGAGGTACCGAGAGGTAAACACATCCATAAACACACTGTGAATACTGCAGTATTTCTTCTGCTACTGTAGTACTGTCTGTCTGTCCACCTGCCGACAGGTGATCTCTGTATTGGACAACAGATTCGTGTGGAGGGTAAAGACAACACGTGAACAAGCTGAATCAGAATCAGATGACTGTACAATGAAGTGACCCATAACAGAATAATGGAGATGAATAATCAGATATCATCAATCTGTTTGATTTGCATTAAAAACCCTTCTCATTAACAGATTTGAATGTTTCCTCTTTTACTCACACACTTCTTCTTCTTCTTCTTCTTCTTCTTCTTCTTCTTCTTCTTCTTCTTCTTATATTTCCTTCCAGACACTTCCTTCCTGTCTGATCTGGACATTTTGGGGCAGAAGGAAGTGAAATCAGGTTTGTGTATTTGTGGTATGAGGAAATCTGGGCTGTGTTTGAAATCACACAGTGTACTAATGTACCATGGCGCCCTGGTAGGTCACCTGGTAGAACTGGCTCCCCATGTAGGCTGAGTCCTTGCAGCAGCAGCTGTGGGTTTGAATCCAAGCTGTGACTCTTTGCTGCGTGTCATCCCCTCTCTCTGTCCATTAAAGGCAAAAAGCCCCAAAACAGTATATTTATAAAAATATTTTAAAAAAGTACACTCATGCATAAATCACAGGTCAGACGCAATGCATTCTGGGGCAGTTGAGTAAATCTTGGTTGACTGAAGGTCCCTACTCTTCAATCAGTCAATAGCTTGATGTGAAAAAAGTTACTTCTATTTGAACTAAATCTGACAATTACTGACATCCAACCTACACCTGTTGTAATATAGTTGCTTTAAATTAGGTTCAATGTTCACACAGTTTCTCTTTACTTTCCCTCAGTATTACAACATTAGTCTAGAATCTTCCAGCCTGATGCCTGATGACACTTAGCAACAGAAAACAACAGAAGTTACCTCAGGACAACCTTGTTATGGGCGGCTGTGTCTCAGGAGGTAGAGCAGGTCTTCCACTAATCAGAAGGTTGTTGGTTTGATCGCCGGCTCCTCCCACTGCATGTTGAAGTGTCCTTGAGCAAGATACTAAACCCCAAACTGCTCCTGATGCTGCATCACTGTGTGTGAAAAGGTGAATGTGGCTTGTAGTGTAAAAGCGCTTTGAGTGGTCAGAAGACTAGAAAGGAACCACACAAGTACAGTCCGTAGTAAAATAAAGTTTATCCACTCAGCTCTTCTGTCCTCTGAGGCTGCGAAAACTGGATCTATGTATGTGGAACGTCTCTGGTGGGAACAAAGCTGGTTGTGGAGCAGGACCAAGCAGACCTAGTCTGTGCTACTGGATTGGGGCTGGACTCTCCTTTTTATCCAGACCTGCCCAGAGTGAAAGGCACATGGAGGGTCTCAGTTATTGATGAGCCCCCAGCTGACCATTGCTGTGTTGAGGTTTTCCCCAGAATTCCAGGTGTCAACTTGTGCTGTGACTGATCACTGATGGGGGCGTGGCCAGAAGTGGAGCATCCCCAAGAAGTGCTGATCTCTGATGTCACTTTAACTGTTAACTTCATGTTTCTAACAAACCCACTGTCATCGTTACTTTGTTAGTCTGTGTGATGATGATGATGATGATTTCCTGTCTGCAGGTGAGGAGGGGAATAATGGAGGCGGAGACGGTGAGGACAAGAAAGGTAAAAGACCTGCCTACAGTTGTACATTATACAGTGTACATTATACATTTTACAGTTTACATTATATAGTGTACATTATACATTATACAGTTTACATTATACAGTGTACATTATACATTATACAGTTTACATTATACAGTTTAAATTATACAGTGTACATTATACATTATACAGTTTACATTATACAGCTTACATTATACAGTGTACAGTTTACATAATACATTGTACGTTATACAGTGTACAGTTTACATTATACAGTTTACATTATACATTATACAGTTTACATTATACAGTGTACAGTTTACATTATACGGTGTACAGTTTACATTATACATTTTACAGTTTACATTATACATTATACAGTTTACATTATACAGTGTACAGTTTACATTATACAGTGTACAGTTTACATTATACATTGTACGTTATACAGTGTACATTATACATTTTACAGTTTACATTATACATTATACATTATACAGTTTACATTATACAGTGTACATTTTACAGTGTACAGTTTACATTTTACAGTTTACATTATACAGTTCACATTATACAGTTTACAGTTTATATTATACGGTGTACTGTTTAGAGCATACATTGTGCAGTTGACCGTTGACAGTATACAGTTTACAGTGTAGAGACTGATATCAGTGTCACTGCTCTCTGACCTCTGGCCTGTGACCTCTGACCTGTTCCAGAGGAGAAGGTGAAGGACTACAGGTACTATTTGAGGATGTGGGCAAAAGAGAAAGAACCCAAGACTGAGACCATCAAAGACCTTCCCAGGATGAACCAGGTGAGTACGAGACCAGGACAAGGATCATTGACCTGTCTGTCTATCTGTAGGAGCAGTTCACTGACCTGTCTGTCTCTCTCTGACCTGTCTGTCTCTCTGTAGGAGCAGTTCACTGACCTGTCTGTCTCTCTCTGACCTGTCTGTCTCTCTGTAGGAGCAGTTCATTGACCTGTGTAAGACTCTCTACAATATGTTCAGTGAAGAGTCTCTGGAGCAGCAGCTCTATCACTCCATCGCCACTGTAGCAAGTCTGCTTCTGCGGATCGGAGAGGTTGGCAAGAAGTTTAACAACGGCAGCAAGAAGACAGATGATGCTCAGGCCCCGCCCCCCACTCCTCAGAGTGAAGAGGGGCTTAGTGAAGGGACTTCAGGTGAGTCTCAGGTGTGTCGGGCTCTGGCCGAGGCTCAGCTGGAGCCAGCGACGCCGCAGACGTCCGACGAGGAAACCAAAGACGACACTTCAGTGTCGTCTTACTCGGTGGTGAGCTCTGGCTCGCTGCAGTGCGAGGACATCGCAGACGACACTGTGCTGATTGGCGGCGGTGAGCAGAGGCGCGGAAGCGTGCTGGATGTTGATTGGTCAATCACCTTCGAGCAGGTGCTGGCGTCAATGCTGACAGAGCCGCCGCTCGTCGACTACTTCGAGAAGAAGACAGACATCCAGAGCAAGATGGCAGCCTGTAAGGCCCAGCGGGCTGTGGAGCGTCAGACAAGCTCCGCCTCTGACCACGAACTCACTCAGCATTCCGTCTGACTCACCTGTCCACCTAACTCATTTGATTCACCTGTCTGACCTCCACCTGTCTCGCCTGACTCACCTCTACTTGTCCACACTAGCCTCTCTCTAACAGGTAGAACAAGTGTACAGTATGCAGACAGAACTACAGAAGCCCCAAAGTCCCAAAACGTCATTTTATTTTTTTATATGTTGAACAAACAAACCTTTTGTTTTGTTTTTTAAAATGTGAGCAGGTAAACGAAAACAACGTTAAAGTTAATCAATATGTAGATTAATGTTGTAAGCATTAATCAATAAGTAGATCAATGTAAACAAACTTTATGGACTCCGTTATAAAGCGACTGAAGTTATCTATAAATATAGTTGTTTACTTTCTGTACAGTTGACAAACATTACCTGTTTATTAATAATGAGTATTACCTGAAGACTTTTATTTTGACGTCACTGAAGCCTTGTTTGTTTGTTTGTTGGTTTGTTTGTTTGTCTCTCCTGCCTGTTCCTGATGACATCAGTCCTGTTTACTTCCTGTTGTTGAAACGATGATGTCACAGGTCTGTGTTTATTCACCAGTCTGCTTTTAAGATCCATTTTATTGATCAGTTATTGATCTGTATTCTGTTGTCTAATAAATACTGAAAGAAATTCTTCTTCGTTGGTGTTTATTGATTTATAAGTTCACATGAAAACAGATTTATTGATTTTAAAAGACATCTGTCAGAATTGTTGACTTTGTTTTATTGTTTTGGTTCCTTTGATGAACAGAGTCACATTTATCAATATTACGTTGTTGTTGTATCATTACGGAGGTTAAGTTAACCACTGGCTCCTGGCGGCGGCAGCGGTTGGAGGGCGGGTCATCTTCAGAGGCTGCAGAGTGACAGAAACTGGCTCCGGGTGAAGAAACAAGACCTGGTCTGGATTGTAGGGAGACCACCTGGGACGCTCAAGACATTAATCACAATCATTTATTGCATTTATTTACTGTGGTAGATTTGTGCATAACAAACAAACAAATAAATAAATGGAAAACTGACAATAATATATGGAAATATAAAGAGAAAATATGGAAGTTGTTCACAGAAATAAGTATAAAGAATATTTCTATAAATAAGAGAGCTGATAATATTAATAATGATAATGAAATAATATAAGTGACAATAGTTCCTTTGAGCTCAGCTTTTCTGTGTTTAAAAGTTTAATAAAGTTTTATTTCAAACTTCTGATTGAAGTCCAGCTGTTACTGTTGGATTGCTGGTTGAGTTTAATGATAATGAGACAGTGAATGCATCACAGCAGTGAGACTTTATTTCATTAAATATAATAAATGTTTTATGTAAATCATTATTTATCAGTAACAGCAGATTAAATATGTTTATATGAATAACGAGTTTAATAAATTAACCATATCGTCCTCCGGCCTGCAGGGGGCGCTCTGCTCGGGGCCGCTGTGACACTGTGACGTTTCACCGTTGTTCAAACCATGGTTCAAACAGACCCGGGAAAACTCAGCCGGAGGACCAGGACCCGAAAGGACCAG